TGTCCCAATCAGCTATTTACACACGTTCCTAATATTCCCCTGAGCTTTCTCTTCTCGAGGCTGAGCAGTCCCAGCTCCCTTAGTCTCTCCTCACATGTGAAATGCTCCAGTCCCTTCATCATCCTGGTGTCCCTTTGCTGGACTTGCTCCAGTATGTCCCTGTCTTTCTTGTACTGGGGAGCCCAGCACTGGACACAGCACTCCAGGTCTGCCTCAGCAGTGCTCTGTAGAGGGTAAGGATCCTCTCCCTCAGCCTGCTGGCAATGCTTGGCCTAACGCAACGTGAAAAGAAAATGATATTGTATAACTGGGTTTAAGCAAAGCAAGCAAAAAGGCACAGGACTGGGTTTGCAGGGACATGGTTTGTGCAGGAATTTGGATCCTTCTTCAGCACTAGCACAAGTATGTTGAAAAACACTCAAGTTTATTCTTCACTAGGAATGGCCAGAGTTATATTTGTTTTGCCCTGGTCCCTTTAAAAATTGAAAGCCTGATGAGAAGGCTGAAGGGGAATGGAGAGGGGGGAAGGAGGAAACGGGTGGGAACAGAGCTGTGTTAACAACAGTTTGGGGGTGTCCTGAAATCATTAATCAGCAAAGGAGCTTCCGTAAGTCATATTTTGCTCTTGAAGTTTAACTTTTTTTTTCGTCTTTAATAAAACCCTGATTTTTAATACTCTACACGTGCTGATGGTGTAGTATTGGCAAGCCAAGCGGGAGAGACACAATTGTTAAACCTATATAGGAATTGCTATAAAATATTCCAGGGAAAAAACCCTGGAAAAACCCCAGGAGATTAGTGTAGAGATAGGAGACCTTTTAACAGGGCTAAAGCACGTGTGGGACTCCAGATGGAATTGCAGGAAAGATATCAAACCAAAGAGTTAAAGGAAAAACTGGAAGACCGGGTATGGTTTTAAAACTGGAGTAACTGTCTTCCTCTTTCTGCACATTATTTAACTCCTTTTACCTCCAAAGCCCCCAGAAAATCAATATAAAACTGATTTGGTACGCCAGGCTGCTGAGTCATTCTAGAGTAACGTCAAGCTCCAGCTGCTGCAGATCCCTCTCTCTTCCCAGGCCAGCCCCACCAGTCTGGAGGGGACAAAAAGCAGGCAAATATATCCCCAAATATTCCTCATTCTCCTCTGCCTGCTGTCCGCCAGCACAGCCCAGAGTGCTTTAGTTTTTGGATCTGTTGTTTAATAAAACTCCAGCTTTTAAAACTGACCTTGCTATGGGCCTGTTGGGGCCAACATAGCCTATGGGCCAGCAATTCGTGGTCTGCTGTGTGACTGCTGAGGTGCTACTGCACTAAGCACTCCTGAAAAGCTTGTTTCTCTGGGTAGCTAAATGGCCTCTTTGCAGCATTTTGGCCAAAAAGATGTGTTTTTTAAGCTCAGCCTTTATTGCTGTTACTCTCGTGACATTACTGCTGTAATCTGGACTGTGTTGCTCTTGCTAATATTAGTAAGCATTCTTCTGCTAGAGTAATCACGTTGGGAACAGACTTGACACCTTTACTCGTGCAAAGTGCCACCCACTTAGCTAGTTTCTTGTTTATCATGAATCTCTACCCCACACTGGTTTGGAATAAAAGCGTGTTGCTCTCCCCCTTTTTTTTTTTTTTCCTTCCCTTTCATGATTTTTGCCAGTCAGAAAACACAGCAGAAGATGAATAACAGTGCTTGGATTGTCACATTGCATGGTTGGAAGGATGGAAGTTGGAAGCAAATCTGTAGTTTGAAAAAATTAAATTTACTAAACAAAGAGATGCTTGCGGAGTGACCTTTCCTCTACTTGAAAACTTAGTGATTGTGCAGCTGTTGTCTCCCGTTTTTGCCTAATGCATATTCATGGATTTTCACAAGGAAAAAAAAAAACAAAACATGTTTGGGAAACCATGATTATAACTTAATTAAAAATAGTTTCAATTTTAGAAAATTAAATGTGTTGGCAGTGATGTACTCATTGCTAATGGGTGATTGAACTTTTTCAATAACAATAAGAGATTCAATGAAACCCTAGAAGGTGTTAGAATATGATTAACTAGATAATCTATGTATTTGAGTTTTTATTCCCAAATAAGCTGTATCTCCCAGAGCCAGAAGTATGAGTTTATATTTGATAATGATATGAGACTCTTAAGCCTTCTTGCAGGTTGTAATTCAATTCTGTAAGAAAAGACCTTTAAAAGGAGAAGAAAGAATGGATGCTTGCAATTACAGGAAGGCGTTGTGGCTGAGTGGGTCAGCTTGTTCAGTCCCTCGTCTCAAATAGAGCGAGGCAGGTTACATGCCATATTGAACTGGAGCAGCAAATGAGAGTGCAGAACCTATCAGCCTCAAATTATACCTTCCCGAAATGCTGGTTTGGTTCTCTGGAACCAACCTCTTGTTTTTCAAGACGTTAGCTGCCGTTTTGCACTGATACAATAGAGGATATTATCTGTTGGGATGTGTCAGGATGGGACCGACTGGATGACCTACAGTGGAAAAGCAGCTCACCGAAACTAGGGACCTTCATCACAGAGACAGAAAGCTGGTGTCCTATTTCTCTGGATGTGATGACAGATAAGGTTATGGGTGGATATCTTTGTCCAGCCCTTTAGTCATGTAAACTTGTGTAAATGCAGACCCACTCCATTTTCTATGGTGTTTTATGTCCATGTTGCTGAAAATACTATAGCAAACTGGAAAATTGTGCTGAGGTTCACAGGTTCTGTGTGTTTCCATTTCTGTGCAGTGCCAGGCCCACAGGGCTGTAAAACTAACACGAAAAATACAGAAAAGTTGTAATTACGTTACCAATAATAGAAAATCTGTCAGTCAAAAATGCCTGATATTTGCCCGTTCAAGATCACTTTTTTCATGTATAACTGTCATTGAGATAAACATTAATGGGAATAAGAATCCGGATGGAAAGAGTCAAATAAAAGCAGACTTGGATGAATTAAGAGGGCCAGAAGATGCCCTAAGAACTTCCCTAAGGTGGTTACTGTAATTGCTGAGAAGCTTTTGGGGTCCTTTGGTTCCTAAGCAAAGCACTTTATGACTGTAAAGGGTAGCACAATTTGAAGGAAAAAAAGAAGAAAAAAAGGAAGAAATAAACAGGCCTCTTAATGATTAAAACAAAACATTCTGTCATTTCATTTAAAGGTCATCTGAGTTGGAACTAGAGCGAGATCTGTATTAGTGTACATTAGTCTCTATGGCATCTAAATTCAGACTATGCCAAATTAAGTCAATATAATACATAATTGATATTCATTTTGAAAGCTCATGTTCAGGAGAAAGGAAATTCAAAGCTAAGGCAAGGGCAATTGTTCTAAATAGTTATAAATTGCAAATCCGTCATTCAATCAAAATAGCTGATTTCTAGAGGTCTGCATACAGAATTAGGCCTACAGTAATTAACTAAAAGGTAAAACTCTCCAGTATTTGAGCTAAATTTACCAAAGCATGTGGATGGGAGTTCAGCAGAGCTATAGACTGAGTTGTGAGCGAGCAGTGTGCTGCTCCCAAGTAATAGTTTACTACAGGCAAATAATGATTTGCTGTATGAGTTCATGTAGGGTGTGCTTATAATTCAGGGAGGATACAGAGCAAATCATTATCTGCAAGAAGGCACGGTGGAATCTCATGAGGCTCACAGGGGAAGGAAGTGTGGAGTGTGTGTAAGGAGGATTTGCTTGCTAGATGCTGGAAGCACCCTAGGAAACGATGGCCTGCTTCCACCTTCAGCTGCATCTGTGCAGCAGCGCAGTGCAGTCCTCTGACAGTATTGGTCCCTATGGCTTTGGGACGTTTCTGGCTGATAATGTCCTAGCCCGATGTGTTGTAGCATTTTGTACTTTCAAATGACTGAATCCTGTGACAGGATAGATCTCCTTTTTCTTAGAGCCCAGGATGCTTGTGGGCTGAACTGTGTGTGCCCCTTAGCAAAGGGATTGCTGATAGCCCCAAGCATCATGTTTGGGCTGGGGTTTGGGTGGGGATGCTGTGGAGAGGGGTAAGGCAGACTGGAGAGGTGTCTCAGACAAAAGACCAACATGAACAGTATTGAAATTAATGTACTTGTATATAGGCATATCTGTATTTTATGCTTCTGTATATTTTATATTTATAAATATTAAACATTTATAAATAGATGTATAAGATTTATATAACAACTGCAGTGGATATCTCCAGGGTTAACAGTGAAGGAGTATAAACCATCTACTGTATATTAACTCTACAGTAAGTATACTTATATATCTCTATATATAAATAAAAATTCCATCTGTCTTTCGAGTTTGATTTCATCATTTTTTAAGACCACATGTATGACTCTGGCTTTGCTTCCTCACAGTGGAATATGTAGTGCTTCACATTATAGCCCTGTCTTGTCCACAGCCTTGTGCCTGTGAAGAGTAGCTGTTAACGTGAGTGCCGTGTCTGAAGAGACATGAAAGATAAAGAGGAATTCTGCAGATGTCCCTGAATCTATGAAAAGGTTTTGCTAAATTAAAAGAAAAAAGGAAGCCATATTTTTCAGCCTTAGAGTAGTGAAAAGGTAGAAATTACCTTACAGAAATCGCTAGAAAAAAAAGAGAGGTCACCTCTCGATATGACGATAACTCTGAAATAAGAGAAATGTGTAGTACTTTGCAAAGGAAGGCAATAACCCTCCCCCCACACACCCGAAAGAAAATAAACCTTTCACTTGGATGAGAATATTATTAAAGATAAAAAAGATTAATTTTTATCATTGTTTTGAAGGCAGATGAGCAGTCTGTCTCCAGGGCTTGACTTCTAAATGAAAGAAGAATGTTTTATTGCTCCCCCTTTCAGCCTCAAATGTTCAAATCTAGCTTAGTTTCCTGGTCACTAGGGAGTCCATGCAGTTGCGTTTGACTGAAAGCAGCAGAGTGCACAAGTGATGCGTTCCAGCTTTTTTGCTAATCAAGTTTAAAATGATCACAGCAACTTGGCTAATTGTATTAATTTATTTCTTCTTTAGGCAGAATGGGGAAACAGAATAGCAAGCTGGCCCCTGAAGTGATGGAGGATCTGGTGAAGAGCACGGAGTTCAATGAACATGAGCTAAAACAGTGGTACAAAGGATTTCTAAAGGATTGTCCAAGTGGTAGACTGAACCTTGAGGAATTTCAGCAGCTCTACGTAAAGGTAAGTTATTTATTAAGTTCTTATTCTTTGGCCACAGAAAAAGTAACAGAGTAACATAAAGCAAACAAATAGTTAAAGAGCTGTCATTCATTCAGATGAAACACTACCTTCGCTAGGAGAAGCAGTGGTGAATACAAGGATATAAGTGAGAAGTGCTACGCTAGTCAGACCAGTGATTTGTATAGCTGCAGGGACCAGAACCAAATGTTTAGGAAAAAAGCTGTAAATTACCCACCGGAAATTTCCTTTCTTCACTTTGTAATGTATGGGTATCTTTCACGTTCAAAAAAAGAGGCCCCAGTCCTGTTTATTAATAAACTGTGCTGTATCCTACGTAATACCACTGGATTATAAACTGTGAGATTGTCGGATCTACTCTTATATAAAAGTCTGTTCTTCTTTTGATTTCAGTGAAGCTCTTGCGCTGGTGAGTTTTCATGGCAATACGTCCTGCAGAAAAATTATATATTGCGTATGAAGGAATTCCTCTATAACTTCTAAGTATTGCCTTTACTTTCTCTCTGCACTTGTTACATGTGAAAGGAAAACCAGGCTGCTTCGTTTATTTTATTTTTCATTATCAAGTGCAATGAAGTCTTTTCCTTACATTTAGTATGTATTTATTCTGTAAAAAGAAGAGCGGGGGGCCAGCATGAGAAGTATATTCGTGTTACAAAGATAATTATATTTTAATGCAGAATGGAGTGTCTGCCCAAAGGTCAGAGACTTCAAAGTAATTTTAATTAGGAAAAATATTGGATGGCAGTGATGAATAGTAGGATCAGAACAGTTCATAAATACAATATGAAGCTGAATAAAAATAAAAAGCCTTTAAAATGCGAGCGTTTAATTTTGAGCACACGGACAATTTCTGCAGACAAGTGAAAGTATCTGTCTCATCCCTTAAATGAATAGTACAGTTCTTTCCTGAATTTCTTCAGCCTTGAACTGCATCTCTCTGTAAATTATTACCCAGTCCCATTTTTCTTCTAATGAATGGTCTAACAAAAACTACTAACTGCAGTTTACATAAATAAACTTCTGTCTTCATATTTTAATATTTATGGCTCAAGATGTCGCCTCACAATCCTGTTCTTAAAGACTGACTTTGTAATAACTGTTGTTTTAAGAGAAAAGAATTTTTACTGCCTTCAAGTATTGTGCTTTTTATTGACTGATAATTTATAGCTTCCATTTTAAACAATACTTGGTGCATATCCACCAAGATTAGACACCTAATTGTTTCTCTTATGCGTTTCTGAGGAAAGTAAATGGGCTTTACAAAATATGGATTTCTAGCAAAGTATACCAAATGTTTAACTCTCTAGAAATCATTACTTTCTTTTTGGCACATTACATTAAAGGGATTAAAATGTTTTAAATGATTTTGTGTGTTGTGAGGAAAGGTATCTTCTGAAAATAGCTCAGAGCTGTAAGGACTTTCTCCTTCCAAAGGGTTTTTGAATTATTCACAGATAATTCATAAAATTCTTCACAGAAATAACAGAGATTCAGCATCATATTTACAAAATAGTGGCGCAAAATATAAAAAAAAAGAGCATAGCAATATTTTACTCTTGAAATACTGAGACAGCTCCGTAGTTTTACTGAGGTGGAATATCTGGCTTTTAGTTTTATTTTCTCATATTTTTTTTTTAGAAGTGCACATCAAATAAGATTTTCTCCTTTGCTTCGACAGTTACGTTTTTAAAGATCTGCTCTTTATAATTTTACTGTCATATATTTAGTGTAGTGTATTGTGTGTGTGTGTGTATATATATATATATAAAATATACATACATACATATATATATATAATATACATATATATATATACATATACATATATATATATATATACACATATATATATATATAGCATCTCTATGCAGAGTGGAGTGCTAATTTTACAGAGTGAAATACCATTAGTCATTCCAGAGCTTTACTGGAGAAGAAATAATTGTAAAATAATAGCCTTTAGTTCACTGAGAAACAAACAATCTGAATGTCAGTGGTGGTGGCGGCGAGCTCCCGTGTGTAGGACGTTCTGCCTGCGCTGGCTGCTAGCTACAAGCAGAATCCTAGGTGCGAAATGTGTGATCTTTGTAGGAGAAGCCACCAGCAGGAGTCACAAAGCATTATTATTAGATTTAAAGCATTTTGGTTCTTTTAATGCCTATTCAGGGTAAAAACGTCTAAAGCATGTATTGATCAATAATTGCTCTGTGTGATCTTATGGTTGAGAGAGATGGCATTTTTTCTGGTGTCTGAAGTGGATTTTATTTGAGAAGATTCCCAGAAATAAATAGATTTGGAAAAGAAATTATAGGACTTATTTTCATTTATGAGTTATATTTTCTTTAGATGATTTTGTTTCTTTGCTCATGAGAGTTGCGTGGTGCACTTTCACATGGAATGATGAAAGGGTGTAGGTGGTCTGACTAAGCTATAAAAAAAAGATCTTCTTTTACTCATACCCAGTAGAAAATATCCTCAGCTTTAAGAGCAAAATCATGTATTTTTTTGGTTTTAACAAAAAAGGCCTGCCAATTTTACTGATCTTTCAGGTTTGCAGAATTTACTTCTCCCAAATTTTGCAGAACCCTGAAAACCTGATGGCAGAAAATACTTAATGAGTGGATTACGGTTTCATCATTGTCAGTTATTTTTATTTTTTAGTTGGTATTTCATTGAGAGAGGTAGCAAGGCTCAAGTGTATGTCTTTATTTATTGATGTACGTGTAGACGCTATTGAGTGGAAGGGGGTATTACTCTGGCTTGGCTTGGAAGCCTTTGCTCTTGAAGTTCCCATTCTGAACCCAGCTATGCAGTAATTAAAATAAATAGCACTTATGCAAATGGACTCTACAGAAAAATTGTTTGCGGCACTTCTAGTGAAAGTGTCTATAAAAATACTTAATCAAGAATACTTATTTTAAATAGAAAGCTAATAGGAGGAGATCTACTTTATACTGTAGCATATCTAGTATTGTTTGCAATCTAATGAGTTCGGTAAAAAACGCTGTTATTTTGGGGGGTGTATAGATTTTTGCGGGGGAGAGGTGCAGAATCAGTAGCTAGTTGTTAAGGGTTGTGTTTGATTCCACAGTGCTGAATGAGGTGAATGCTTGAAAAGTTTTTGAAGTACTGTACTGGAAAATTGTTTATATATTGTAAGTCCAGGTCCACAAATGGACCTAAATGCTGCAACGCCGAGTTAGCTGCACCAACAGTTTGTACAGATCATGTGAGAGGCGGGAATTTATGGATACCATTCTGAGAAAGCTAAAAATCAAGCCAGCACATTGTACACAAATCTGCCCGTGCAAACGCACAGCGTAATGCTCAAGACAGGAATTTTTTATTAAATTCTACCCTTCTCCAGGGCATGAACGTCTGTGTTCACATGGGAGCTGCATCCTGGAAACCTGTCCTGCGGAGAACTATCTAGGACATTAGAAGTAAAAGCAAAATTAAGTGACCAGAGTTCTTTTTCTTTCTCTCATAAGTAAAAAGGGAATAAGGATAAGGTGAATGCCTAACCTTTACCACGGTGGTTTAAGCACTCCCCAAGCTGCAGGAAAATGGGAACCAATTATCATGTCTGTGTAAAGAGTCGGACTCTGCACCGCTCACCTCCTGCCAGAGCGCCTTACCTGTGATAAGACAGGCCCTTCTAGGCTGCTGGCAAGATCCCAATTCACCTCTCTCTCTCTGCGGGAAATAGTGATTAGTCTGGAACGTGCAGTTTCTGTCTCCAAAGAGTGTCCTACCCATCAAGTTACAACCATGCTTTTCTTTTTCTTTTCATTTGCCGCCTTTCTGTCCTAAGAAGTCTTTAATCCTTTTATGTGAAGTAAAACAACATTAGCATTGTGGCTAGAGAGTTGAAGAAAAATAATTTTAAGAAGTTACATTAAAATAAAATATGCCAGTAAAACATTATGGATTCTTCCTATCATTTTTTAGGGTTTGTTTCAGTCTAGAGGGCCAAATACATTTTGCTTTAGCATTTTTTAAATTCGCTGGGTTTAGATGAATACGCTCGAGAGCATGTAAGCATGCATAATCAGTACTAATGTTCACAGGAATTATATGTGTTTATTAAGTGGAAAATAGGCTTCTATAATGTGATACTTCTTGGAACTGGGTCACTGAACACAAGAAGCATATCCTCTGGATTAATAATAGAAGCAAGCCCCAATGGTCCTTTAACTGGAAGGGTAGGGATAGGATTCATCATTGTATAATGCTAGTATTAAATAAAGTGAGTTGCTTTGTGAATTTGTTGTACATCTATTATTTAGCTATGTTGGGTTTTTTTAGGAAAAAAATGAACTGAAAAACTATAGTAATGCCATTTGATTAATTTCAGTCAAATGATTTGTCATATTTTTGTCTTCTGTCTCACATTTCCTGCCTTGAAGAGAATTGATTTCTAGTCCCTCATTTTAATAAGTGTAGAATCTCAAAAACCTATTGTAATGTAAGTGGTTATATTTGCAGCATGTTTTTCTCCATCCAGAATTTCAAGAGACTAACATCCTTTTGAAGATGGCATGGAGCTCCTCAAAACGTTAGAGTAGACTTGCATTTCAAGCCTTCCATGTTTGTGAAGAGCTGAGATTCCCGAACAGCACAGCTGTGTTTACAGACAGCCCTAATGTCGATGCAGTTACACTGGTAAAACTATGCTTTTTCTGGATTTGTTTCTTTTCACTGGACAAGCTGGAAGAGCTAAGCTGCTCTAACAGGCGCGCTTTGAACGCTTAAGTTCTCCCTGTATTAGGAGTACTTCGTAGGTATGTTATACTGATACTCCTGCATTGCTAAAGAACTACAGCCTGTTTAGAAATCAGACGGATTATCAAAAAGACTTGTGTATATATTCTCATAAGATGGATTTTAATCCATGCTGTTGCTGCCTTCCAGAAGATCACATCTGGGCTGCTTGCAGGCCTGCAGGACGACACGGCAGTATGTTTGATGGATACACCACC